CTTATTTGTAAATAGTAATAATGTATTATAACCAAAATGTGACTGTATTTTACAAAATACTGGTCCACTAGAACACAGCCAAGACAGGTCACTGTAAAGGCCAGTTTTATATTCTTGGATACGGTAACACGAGTGGACACGCACCACGTCATTGCAACTTGTGTAGTGTTAATCAGACACAGCTGAAAGGTCAATAAAATATACCTATAGATATATAATGTTATGAGTACTATTTAGACTAAACATTTGTAGTTTCATGTTATAATTTGTAATCATTCTAATTTTTTCTGGTATTTACGAGGTCAGTCAAATCGAGCAAACCCATATAGAGAAAATAACAGATAAAATATAAAGTTTTTTCTATAAAAAATTTTTGATGATTATCTGGAGGTTATAAAGATTTTGCATGTGAAATTTGATACTTTTCTGATGCATAAAGGTACTTTAATTTTAAAATAAAAATTACTATGCATGCTGTATAGTCAATATTCAAAAAGAAAAAATGCATGAGCAAATCATTACTTAAAAAATCTTGAAACATAACAAAAAAATCTCATATTTTGTGTACGGAAGCCTTGTAATTTTTACTGGTAACCTGCAAAGTTTTGTGAAGATACGCATGCTGTATATAAAGTTATAGTATGAAAACTAACAAGCACAAAATGATTTTAAGGTTGGTCTTTGGAACTGAGCCCATAGTGAGAGTGTTAAGTCACAAGTGCTTTTCTTACAATAGAGTACATTGTGAGACTGGTGAATGTGTGTGTATGATTTTACCTGTAATGGAGTACATTGTGAGACTGGTGAATGTGTGTATGATTTTACCTGTAATGGAGTACATTGTGAGACTGGTGAATGTGTGTATGATTTTACCTTTAGTGGAGTACATTGTGAGACTGGTGAATGTGTGTATGATTTTACTTGTAATGGAGTACATTGTGAGACTCTTGAATGTGTGTATGATTTTACCTGTAATGGAGTACATTGTGGGACTGGTGAATGTGTGTATGATTTTACCTTTAGTGGAGTACATTGTGAGACTGGTGAATGTGTGTATGATTTTACCTGTAATGGAGTACATTGTGGGACTGGTGAATGTGTGTATGATTTTACCTGTAATGGAGTACATTGTGAGACTGGTGAATGTGTGTATGTGTGCCATGAGTTGAAATCTTAATCTTAGATCTGTACAGAAAAATGTATCACACGTTCTTTGTCACACATGTTGGAAGCTGTATTTTTAACATTATTTATTATATATACTGAAAGCTGTACTTTTTACCCTTTTGTTATCACATTCCATCTTGAAAGCTGTACTGTTTACTTTTTTTTATCACATTCCATCTTGAAAGCTATATTTTATACACTGTTTATTATTTATATATCGAAACCTATACTTTTAACTTATTTATCACACATGTTGAAACCTTTATATTATACCATGTTTGTCATGTGTAACATGCTAAAACTTGTGCTTTGTCATTATTTAGTTTAGGTGTAGTGTTTTATTTATTTTAAGTAAGACTGGTTATAGCCAACATTGATTGAAATATTTAAACTGTGTTATTTATATTTTTCAACTCAGATCTAGTGTTTTATTTGTTTCAGGTAACGTTGGCTAGAGCCAACATTGCTGGGAGCAGATTAAACTGTGTTATTATTCAAGATCTTACCATTGGTGAGGGCCCTAGTCTAGAGTTAGGACATATGGCAGAAGTCAGATACACTGGTTGGCTAATGACCAATCATACCTTTGGACAAGTAAGCATAATATATGTTTTCACATATTACGTGCAGGATATGATTAACTTAACTTTACATATCCAAAAGAATTATTATCTTCATGTGTATATTTTTTGTAGGGTAACTTTCTGAAGTGATTTTCATTTTAATTTGTAACTACAGTCAGAACTGTCAACTATGCTTTATAAACTGCATTTTCAAATAAAGAGTACCTGTTATGAGTCATATTAAACTGTCATACATCATTTTAAATTATCACTACCCAAAACATCTCCCTCCAATATCATTTTGCATGCCACTATCCTTGAGGCAACTCCCACCTGATTTCACATTATTTTATGAGAATTGTGCTACTGCATAATGACATCATCACGAGGCAAAAGCCCTCTATCAGTAGCAGGGTGACTGCATTTGCAGTTATGAATCTTCATTCTTATTCTTCATATTTTATTGTACAGACATGTTTAAATTTATCATTTTGTTCAACTTATTAAGATATGCATCATTAATGAAACTCTTATTTTCATTCTCTTTAGCTTTTATTTCAAAAGCTTTAATTTTTTATCATTAATTCTCAAGTGATGGTGATTTATACTTAGTTCTGAGTGTGGAATGTTGTTCACACTTAGGCCTTAATTTTGCTGTGGCTTTTGGAGGCTCGTAAACTGCAGGGGCCATTGCAGTCATTACTCAATGTGTTGTGGATTACTACAGTCTTAATGGTCTTCCTACTCCTGTCTCGTTGGCTATCTCTTAATTTGAGAATGATCAGGTAGACTATGACCATCACGTAAGTTGCTTTGGATAGTACTTTACCATTTGTGAAATTACCTAAACTTTTTAATCTCTTTCTGGCTTTCATTATTATGTATGTTTTTTTCCATCTCTTTTTTTCTGTGTACTTTATTATTTTACATTTTCTCACTTTTGAGCCCATGATTCTTGGGTTTATCTTGTCCTTTCTCCTTATTATGTTTTATACTGTTTCCTTTATCTGTGGTCTCCTTTCTCATGCCCCAATACCTTGTCTTACTCACACTTGTGAGTGACTCATGCATGCCTCATTCAAGCCATTGGCTTCCTGGCTTTTGTACCATATTTCTCTCCTAATTTGTTTCCTCCTACTTCTCTCTTATGATTACTGTCCTATTCAGTATACCTTATCACAGATCTTTACCTTTAGGGTTCCTGCTCTCATCTGTCTCAGTGGACCCCTCATTTTCCATGGACATCTTTAATTTTCCTCAATGGGTTGGGTTCGTTGTCTTTTCCATGGACGTGTTTGTCTCAGGATGTAGATGCTCGTAGACTAGTTCCCTTTTCTTCACATTCGATTCATCACATTTTTTGTTCTCTTATATCTCTTTTGACAGCCCTTGTATGAGTTCTTCCATGTGGGCATGTAGTCTCACCACATGTTCATTTTCTTCTTTACACGTTCTGGCTTTATCATCTCCTGATGGTTTTTGGCTTCCACAAGTCACCATTCTTCAATCACCCCACTATCTTTGAGAATAATATTCCTCTTTCAAAGCCCCTCTTTTATTATGTAGGATCCCACAAGGTGGCTAAGGTTGCTTCCCAAGGTATACTTATCCAAAATCCACATCGAGCCAGGTAACAGAAAGTGTGCTCATACAATCCACCCTAGCTTAACATATGCTTATTGTGAGGTGGGGTGATCTGCAAGACCACTCAAGGTATCCTTATGGTATATATATCTATATTCATTTTGTTGTCTGATCCAGACTATACCTGTTCCATAGACTATCATGGGCAAGGGCAATACCAGGGAGGTGTTCTGCCTACTTCTCTGGCTTGTACATGCTGACTTTTAAAAATAGATTTTCACAGTTACTCATTACATTGTCCTTAGTAAAAGACCTTTCTGGACTGATGGGAATCCAGGCACCTTCTCCAGGTCCCCTCTACATGAATCCTTCCCCCATTCACCAAGTGGAACATGGGAGACCTCCAACAATTATCATTTTCTTGCCATTTAAGTGATGGACCATGGAGAACCCTCACTGATTGAAACTCATCTGCTGAAGCTAGAATAATAAGGTGAGAAGTGGGGCAGTGGTGGCACCATCAGTGTAGTGTGGGTTACCTTTCATATAAATAAGATATAGCAGAGTTTAGGTGAGCACACACAAAATGAATGTGCCCTCCTCCTGCAGCCAGAATCTGTTCAGTAGAGTAGAGGTGTACATGACACTACTATATATGGACCAATGCCTCATAATACAGGTCTGTTCAGTTGAGCACTCACTATTCCAAACCAACAAATATTTACATCTCATATGTCTTCCTCCTGCAGCCACTGTTTGTCCAGTAGAGTTGAGATGGGCACACTCAATACTGTTCCTTACTACATAACAAATGTGCCCTTCTTCTGCAGCTGAATGTAGAGTTGTATCCATAATAGATAACAATAATTTAATAAAATGTCTTCCTTCTGCAGTAGGTACTGTAGAGTCTGATGATAGAGTTGGAATAAGAACAGATACTTATCACAAGTGCCCTCCTCCCACAACTCTATCATCAGACTTGATGAGTGAAACACCAGCTGAAGTAAGAACAGATACTTATCACAAGTGCCCTCCTCCCACAGCTGGTTTTTCACTCATCAAGTCTGATGATAGAGTTGAGATGAGTACACGTGGTGTGGTCTAAACAAGTCCCAGTCACACTACACATATTGGCTATCTGACAACGTGTTCACACTCCATCCATCCCTTTGCTTCTTCCTTTTTCCTATATGTGTATACCCTGTATGAGATGAAATGCAGTCTCCCATAGGTATATTCCTATGGAGCCCATGCCATTGGATGTCACATACCATGGGCTTTCTTCGACACTTTCTAAAGAGGGCTCAAAGAGTTAAATTTTGCACCAGTCCCTCTACCATTTCATCATGGGATCCTAGCTAAACTGTGTGAAAAGATGAGTTATCATCACAGAAGTTAACATTTTCCTTACCTGTAAATGTATATATGATAGATACTCACCTCCTCACACTTTCCCACTTTCCATTTTCTTACTTACCTCGTCAAAGAAGGAAGATTCATGAGTACAAATACATATGGAAGTGTTTTGGCCTCCTATTGGTGGAGGGCTTTTGTCACATGATGACATCATCATGCTGTGGTGCAATTCATGCAAAATCACAAGAAATTAAGTTGGAGTTGCCTCAATGCTAGTGGCATGTAAATCTCTATGGCAAACACACTGAGGAAGATAGCTAAACTGTGTGTGGAGGTGTGTACCTAATGTTAGTACATTTTCAAGTAAGGAAAAGGTTAACTTTATAACAGAAAGATGCATTGCAAGTCATTTTTAAATTAGTTCTTTTACAGAAGAAATTTTCATCAGTTATTTTCATAAGAGAAAGATCTGTCATGAGTAATTTTAAGTCATCATTCTACACAAAATATGTATTTCAAAAGTAATTTAAGTCAGGTTTTTATAATGAAAAGATATGTTGCAAATCATTTTGAATTATTTTTTACAGAACAAAGATAAATCGTGAGTCATTTTAAATTAGTTCTACAAAAGAAAGATATATTATGGGTCATTTCAAACTCATTCTTGGAAAGAAGAAAGATCTGTCAGGACTCGCTTTAAATTATTTTTTCTTTAAAATTAAGAACTGTTAGAAATACATTTTAATTGTTTGTTTTGCTCAAGTAGATGTTTTTGTTTTACACAAATAAGAAATGTTAGAAAATGACGTAAGTTAATTGTTTCTCAAGTAGTAACTGTTATAAGTACTGTTTTTGAATGAGTTCTGGATAAGTAAAACTGTTAACCCAATGATTACCAGCTACTAACTTTCTTAGTAGGCAATGTAAGTCTTGCTATATTTCATTCCAACAATAAAACTAGTGGATGAATATGTTTGAAACTTCATAAGAACTTTCAAAGATGTATGTAGTTTAAGAAACATAAAGCCTACTACTTTTGATAAATTTAGTTTTTTTGCATTATGATATTTAATATCTTGGAAAATTACATTAGGAAATGGTATTTATAAGAAATTATTATGATATTTATATTTGTTCCAGATTTGAACTTGTTAATTTTTATGTTTTAGTACGTTATTTTGAAATCCCAAAAAAATTGTATCGTCCATAAAATGCAAATTTTATCTATTTTTAATTTTTTTAATAATCACGTACTCTTCTTATGGTTTCAAGTAATATACAGACCCAAAAATAATATTTGTAAATAAACCTAAACAATAAATGAGTATTTTTAACTAGGATTTCATGTTTATATATGTACATAAAACATTTTAATTTTGTTTCATTAATATATTTTTATTTCAAAGTTATGTTTCATTGCAGTCGTACTTTTGTTTATTGTGCCAAATAAACCGTGGGGGTCAGCAGCGTGAACTTTGTACGTTTTCTGTAAACTATCTCACCCCTGTTGGTGGTCACTCTCATTCAGTTCAACCGAGCGCGGGCGCATTTGAACGTTACTGTAGATAGGATAGTAAGAAAGCTTTTCAGTACTTGAATATCATTTCTTTGAACTTTCAAACAAGTTTATTTCAACATATGTCCATGTATGTGGTTTCAGAATAGAGACAAAACTAATTGCCACTACTAACGAATGTATGTAACAGTTTATAGTACAGGTGGTTTCAATAAACACCACCTGAGCCTGACCCCTTGTTACTTGATACATCCTATTAGAAGAGATTACCAAACGATACAGACACCATAAATTACAAAGAAAATTACTTTACAGCACTTAAAAGATTAGTCCTGCTCACATTCCTCTCATTATAGGCAAGATTTATGTTGGAATGCGAAACTTAAGCTCTTCAATGTATTTAGACCCCATCTGTAAGAATGTCATAGCTTCCCTGTATTATTGAGATGAGTGTATTTAGCCTGTTTCACAACCAACATATGGGTTTTATTGTTGTCACTTGTACACTGAGTTTGAAGCATTTGCAAAATATCAGAACTATATATATACATATCAGTTAGACTGTTTTAATTCTAACACAATAACAACAGAAGTGTGGGTCTTACTACAAAGCAAAGATTGTAAGAAGGACAAATATAAAATTCTTACGTGGTACTAGTAGTATTATCATAACAATTGTGGATCAACTTCTTTCATAAAAAATATATCTATTTTGAGATAATTTTTCAATATAATGATTAATATAAACAGATATACGATGAAGCATGACTTAAGCTACTATATAAAAATAATAAAAGTCACGTACATCCCATGCAGTTTTTTCCAGAAGCAACTTTTCTAACGCTTATAGAAAAGCACTATTGGCCAGTACTAAATACAACCTCTACATAAAATGGCATTTACACAGTTTTGTAAAGAAAACAGACTAGAAAAAGGTTTAGATACCAATCATAGATGGCAGGACCAGTGCTGAAGTGAAAGGAAATATCTTAAAAAA